ATTTATTTTTTTTTTTATTTCTTTATTTTCAGAGTTTTTGGTTTCTTAATTTACAATCTCGTATATATATATAATATTACAACAGGAACAGCAACACAACGAAAATGAAATGATGAATAGATAAACACATACATAAACAGATAGATACAGTCACGTATCCACGTTGGACCTCCATGATTTTAATTAATTTCTAGGACTTGTCCTAAATCTTTCCACTTTCTCCGATACTCTTTCTCTTGACCTTAGATGTGGCCACATTAAATTCAATATTTACTCTATTTCTCAAAAAATATATATATTAACAGACGGCGTTACTTAAACCTGTTGCTCTTCGCATAAATAAACATCTTATACATTAGAACTAATTCACATGATTTTGATTTTCTACTCCTAAAATGAAATCGTCTTTATTTAATTCTGGTAATACAATTTCATAGGGATACATATGTAACCATTTTTTATTCCAAAGTAAAAATTCCTTGCCTCCTCGCATTCCACAAGTGGTATATTCAGGGCTGTCAACCCCCGAGATATTCAAATCTGGAGAATTGATAGGGAAGGGGCATGACGTCACAGCGCGTCAAAAAGCGCGCGAAAAGACGCCTTTCGGTTTGTAACATTTGATGTGATTGGTTTATTTCTGACCAATCAGATTATCGCTTACATTACAATGGCCTGCTTRCAAGAACAACCATGAGGAACGATTTGATTTTGTTAGCGATGTAAAATAACACAAACAACATAAGATAATTGGAATTTTATGGTTGTGAAACTCGGGTCTCACAAGAAAATTCGGGGATTATCCGGGAGATTTGAGACTCTAATCTGGAGACCGGGAGATACGGCCCAAAATCTGGAGACTCCCGGTTTATCCGGGAGAGTTGACAGCCCTGTATATTGTTTCAAAACAAGAGAAGAGGAATGAATAATTCGGAGAACTGATTAATTCAAAACGAAACAGGTCTCTATTAAGATAGAGGATATTATTTAACAACTTAAACTGAAAAAAAAAATCACAAGTAAGTTTTTACGTTGTATTATAAATACGACAATAGATTCCTCTCCAGTTTAATTTTTTATCCATTTGCCCAGACATATTTTTCTGGGATGTTGGCAACTCAAACTTCGCCGCGACAAGATTCTGATAAATCATCTTTGATGTAATATTTCAAAGCCGACAATGAGGATTGGACGGGATTTGAAGTCCAAGCAATTAGTTCCAGTCCAGGACTGGAACTAATTGCGCGGACTTGAGATCCCGTCCAGTCCGATATTGGAGGCTTTGAAATGACTTCTCATTCTCATTAATTATTCGACTTGGAGTAGCTGGAACAAAATTAAGTCAGTCCTAGGACTGAATTACCAGGTTTCAAGTAACATCATGTGACCCAAAAATAGCCCATTGATTGGCTGGTTTACTCATGAATTATTAATGAGTATGAGAAGTATAATTTCCTTGTTGTTGTTCTCTTTTAGCCGGGGGGGTACTACCACCCCAACTTGGGTAGGGGTGTGTCGCCAGGACCTCAAAACCCTGACCCTATCCCAGACCTAAAATTTTGATTTTACATACCCTACCCCAGACTAAAACTAAGAATCCTACACCCTATCCCAGACTAAAAGACGGAAAATACGGTTTTACAATCGATTGCAATCAATATTTACTAACATTTTCATTGTTTTTGGTCGGCAGAAAGCGTAGCCTATTCGCCAGACAAAAACGACCAAATCGTTAACCCTATCCCAGACTAAAATGATACCCTATCCCAGACTAAAATGATACCCTATCCCAGACAAAATGTCAAAAAATGATACCCTACCCCAGACCCAAAAGCCGAAAAACCATACCCTATAGGGCGACACATACCCGTATAGCAAATATAGGGGAGTACCCCCCCCCCCCCGGGTCTTTTCGTCTATTCTGAAAAATCTCTCCTCTTGTATTCATAAGTGTTTTCCAGTCTTTTGGTATTGTGTGTACCAAACTGGCCCATCTACTCAGGAAGTCACCGTCTCGCAGCCCTTTGCTGCGAGCCTTTTCCCACTTTTAAAACTTCCAATCATTATCACATAAGTCCCAGAAACTAATTTAACACTAAAGAGACTGAAGAACATACATAGTCACTTGCTGCGCCGGACATGGGTGTACACCCAGCAGCAATTTAATGGTTTTTTATTTTATTCTTTTCTATTCCAACATTTAACAGGAAAATCCATTTTAGCCTAGGTCTAGTTCAAGTTAACTGGAGTCCTTTGCAAAATAAATAATAAATATTAGACTTTCAATCTGAGTACAAATTTGAAATTGTTCTCGCCAGTAACGTGATTTATAGAAAGTAAAAGAATAACTTAGACTAGATCGAGTGAAGTTATCACCTTGGAGGTCTAGAGCAAAAGAACTATTCCGAACGTTCATCCCAGGATGCTTTACCTTAATATCCAATACCTGGCGGGGTCAGGCCCGTAGCTAGGGGGGTGCGTTCGCACTCCCCCCCCCCCCCCCCCACGCGAGCTAAAGGTCCGCTTTTTAAGCAAGTGAGATTTTGGCTGGTATGGTATTTTCACGTAAAACTAAGTAAAAAAAAAAATCAATTTTACTTTAATAATTTATCTATACCTATGCGTCCTATGGGACTTTTGAAAAATAAAGTATATGGTTGGTCCACTTTTTGTAAATTAGCACCCCCCCAACAAAAATCCTAGCTACGGGCCTGATTGTTACAAATAAAGGACCGGTTCTTTTGTATAAATTATGACGACTAATTCCTTTCTATTTGTTTCTGGGAGTATTGAGTTCGTTTTAACATTTGAAGCAATAGATTTAGCTGCGGAAACACGAAACTAGTTTCAGTCTAATTTCATGATTATCTGTGACCGATTGGCAGGTGTAGTTTAAAACAAATAGACCTCTCTCTTATTGTGTCTAATTGTCAAAATAGCCTGTGGGCTACTAGATGGCTCCAGTATAGAAACAAAGACTTGGTAATTGAGGAAACRGAATTAGCGGCACGCATTCTTTCGGTGACGTTGTATTTTTGAGCTTGAAAGGCTGCATTCCAGAAGTGTTGTGGTCAAGATGCAACCAAAAGCCTCCTCAAATAAATGGTAGCGTGGAATAATAAATAATTACAGAATATACACTTTGCGGCTTTTTTAGGTCTCGTGGTTGTCCAACTTAACACTTCAGACAGTGGAAGAAAGCGCTTTCAATTTTTGTACTGATCCAGACAGCAAGGACTCTTCTCACTTTTGCTTTACTACAGAACTCCTCGAACATCACATGTGGTCTATTGGCTGTATACGCTTGCAAAAAAGAATAGGACATAGCTGAGTAAGTATTGAAAATAACACCATTAACATAACACCCCACTGAGCCAGACAGCGAGGACTTTGCCAGTGCTTTACTACAGAACACCWCGAACATCACGTCCAGTTTATTGGCCGTAAATACGCTTGCAAAAAGGATCGTACATAGCTAAGTATAAAGCATTGAAAATAACTCCATTAACTAACATACAACAGAGCAAGTAAGCGAGGACTTTGCTCACTTACGCTTCACTACAGAACCCATCGAAAATCAGGTCTAGTTTCTTATTGGCCGTATACGCATGCAAAAAGAATCTGACATAAGCCGAGTAAGTATTGAAGATAACATCCCATTAACACTGTGGTAAGACTGGGTGTTTTTCTCGGCATTTTGTTTGGTTTTATACTCGATACTTATTGTAACGAATATTTGTTAGTACGGGATTTTAGTACTTTACATTCAGGAAAAAAAAGAGTTCAYTAATGGATATTGCTAGTGTGATTGCAATTAATAACATTCCAATGAGGACTTAATCAATTTTGTCACAGACATTTGATTTTTTTTAATCATTCTATAAGCACGAATCACTACATATACATGCTGCTTATAAGAACCACTATTTTCGTTCGGCTTTACCAAGCAAAGTGCCACTTCATTACCAAAAGTATGTAAAGTGTAGACAATATTTCTGAAATTAAGAGCAAAATCCCTTTCTGCATTAAAGAATCGAAATCAAAAAATAAGATTGAAAAAGAAAAATTGATATTATAAGCCGATTCTGCTGGTCACTCACGACGTTTTAATAGAATCCTACCTTGATATTTCCGATATTTTTATTTTTATGATATTTTTGAATATAAAATGTATTAGTTTTCGCTTAAAATATCATAAGCGACATTTTGTCTGGTTGTTATTTTCTAATCTGTTTCCCAACTAGCTGTTGTGCTTGCATTTATGTCGGATTTAAAAGCATTTCAACTAATTCCCTTCTATTTATTGTTAATACTCTAGAGTATTATAAAGGTCTAGCACGTGCTTATATCTTGTAGAGTTGCATGACTGATTTTTTTTTCGAAAAACCGTTCAAGTTTTACACAAAACCGTGACCACTTCGTCATACAATTTCATACAAAGATGATTATAAAGTAAAATCCAAAACAAAACAAAAAAATCTAAATCAAGAGAAACAAAACTTAAAAGCATTAAAAATTTACTTTGATATTTAATGTYTGCTTACGAATAATGAGCATGTTATTTTGTATTCCTTTAAGAAAAAAAATGGCATATTTTTATTGTGATGGTGAGTGTTGTTTATGTACAAGGAACTGGTTGTTTGACCTCAAACCTTCAAATACGGCTAAGTAGACCAAAATATCTATTAAATATTTATAAAACACTTGTCTATCCCAGCTGGCTCGCGTGGTTTATAAATAGCTCGTATTAACGCTTTGGGGGTAACCAATCAAAAAACTGTCCCAAATTGAAAGGTTTCTTAATTGAATTCATACTATATCTGCTTTTATCTGTACAATACTGATTATCAGTTTATTCCAAGTTATTTTTGCGTGTACAGATCATCAAGGGTTTTGGTCTTACAGAAAATGTATTGACTTACGGAAAAATGTTTAAAATTTACCTTAAACGTCTTCAAGCTTCCTTATGGCCAAACGCCTAGCGCGGGGGCCATAAAAAATGGGGGGGGGGGGGGTAATGAGGAACCATAACTTACGGTACGGACCGAGCAAACGAGATTAATAAGATTTTTATTATATGGCAAGGCAATACAATTGAAAAAAGGCGTAGCAACAAAAAGTACATTTGACAGGTCAAACGAGAACTGCTCTGGATGGGCTTCCTGTACATGCCACAAGTCATGCACGTTTGTGTCGCTCAGACAAAAAACCTCAAGAACTCAACATGAGCTTGAAATGAAAACTGTCGTACTTCAAACTTCTTTTAGACTTCAAGATCACAAACAACTAAAAAATACTACTGCTTTCATTTCAATGAAAACATAGTGTCATTAACTCTCCTGTCCAGAAATGCATTTAAATTCAAGTGAGAATGAAATTTTCCATAAGCCTGGAAAACTGTTTAAAACGTCAACGAAACCACTGGCTTCTTTACCTTTTTTGCATTTATAAACACTTTAATCAGTTATTTCTCAATTCCCAAATGCCCCCATTCCAATATCTGTTGAAGTATTTTGCCAAACTACTATGTGCTGACTTAAGTACATATCTAAAGACATCACTGTATGTAGCATARCATAGCATACTTTTAATAATTAACAAGTCGTCGTGCACAGCAGAAACTAAACGCTTCAACCGAAAAATGTGTTATAAAAACGACTAAAATTATCGAAAAAGCTTAAATTTGGCACGAACAGGAATAATGAAATCTGTTTTTCCACTTTTACCTTTAGTCCTTTCTTATGCTCTACTCCTTTATTTTATTGGGAAGATTCATGGCGTGATACTTGCTTTGCGGTTAACTAGCTGTTCCAAGTCGGCTAATTAAAACACTGATCATGTTGAAAATAGACATAAAATTATTTCAGTTAAAAAAATTGTCAGTGTGACTAATTTGTCTCTCACTCATATCTAACATATCTTATAACCCCTCTGCCCTCCCCTCTCTTCCGTCTTTCACCTCGATATTAAAGATATGAAGGAGTGCGAGTACCTTGAGATTTCTGATAATGAATTTTGATCATTTTAATTGCTTTAATTTATTTTTTACTGAACAGCTTTGAACGAAGAATCTGGTTAAAAGTCATGATGAATATTCTTCAATACGCGATACATGATTAATTTTTGAAAAATAATGATTTAAAATGAGTTCTGGAGCGATTGATTTGGATTGTTTACATTCTAGAAGCCATGCTCGTTTTATATTTTCCGAAAAGAAACCGCTGTCATTGCGCCCGCGATATCAATGCATTTTAACCTATAAACAGCTTTAAACGAAATATAGTTAAACTCCATGCTGAATATTATTCATTACGCGATAGATAAAAACGTTGTTTCAATATCACTCGAATGCTTCAGTTTTCACGCAAGCGACGTAAACGGCCTATACAGTGACTTATGTATATATGACTGAGTAATAACCCTTTTGACAATTTGTTTTCAGGAAAATAGAACAGGCCATGTTTAGGATGTTAAGAGTTGCGATATATCTGCTACACGTTGCAGTCATCGTTTTTGCATCACCTATTAATAATACTATAGCAGTAACCACAAAGTCTCAAGATCCTATCACAACGATTCCTTCTACAACAAGTCATGATCCATCAACATACCATTCGAGTGTTTCTTCCTTGTCCTCTGAACAACCAACCACACGAACTCTTGCTGTGGCTGAAGGGCAAACTTCAATTCCGTCAACTACCAATGAGTTCATGACAACCGAAAGTTCTAGCAAGTCAGATTTTACAATTCAATCCAGTACCTCGAAGACGACTCAACCCGATTCCTCAGAAGCTACAACGATTGCTACTACTTCAAAAATAGCAACTGCCGATTCGATATCTTCTGAACCAGAAACTACTGCTTCTTCATCTGCAGCCCCTGAGGCACTTTCTCTACCAACCGACGTAGCGACTTCTGAAGCATCCACTACACCYGATACTATCTCTACTATGGCTCCAACTACCAGCAGGTCAACCACTGCAGCACCTACTACAGATGATACCACTACTATGGCACCTTCCCTACCACCAACTACGAGCTGGTCGACCACTGCAGCACCAACTACAGTTGGTACACCTATTGTGGCACCATCCCTACCACAAACTACCAGCAGGTCAACCACTGCAGCACCTACTACAGATGGTACCACTACTATACCACCTCCCCTACCACCAACTACCAACAGCTCAACCACTGTAGCACCTATTACAGATGGTACAACTACTATGCCACCTTCCSTACCACCAACTACCAACAGCTCAACCACTGTAGCACCCACTACAGATGGTACCACTACTAT